CCTGGCCAATACACGATCTGACGAGCACGCTGTTCCATTGTTGATTCACCTTGGTGCGCTGCATGGAGGTTCTCTAGGACTTTCTTACGTAACGACGGCGGGACTATGACGCGATCTTGGTACACAAGGACTCCCTCCTGCTCGTAGATGGAGTCCCAGATGAGTTTGTACGGGGACAGAGCAGGATCTGCGGGCCCGTTAGGGACAGGTCCCTTTTGGACCCGCTGGAGGAGGCCACTCAGCGTGGTGTCTTTGGCCGTTTCTTGTGCGAGGAGTGACCATGGAACTGTGCTAAGCTCATGCGTCTCGTCACGTATAGACGCCATCAGTGCCGACTCGGTGAGGTCGGAGGTGGTGGGGGATCCGAAGGATAAGCTCTCTATGCACTGGAAAAAGGAGGGGTGTCGCGAGGTTGCGTCGGCGGCATAATTGCATTTTCCGGGCAGGTGCTGGATCTCAAAACGCCATGGTAGGGTGCGTTGTTTGAGTCTAAACAGACGGGAGTTGGTAATTTCGTCTAGTGTCCGATCTCCGAAAATTTTCACGAGTGGTTTGTGGTCCGTAACGATAATAAGATTATCACATCCCTGGGTAAAGTATCGTGTCTGTTCGAGGCCCCAAGCTATGGCAAGAGCTCCCCCTTCGATAGCTGCGTAGCGCTGTTCTGCTGAAGAGAGGAACCGTGAACCAGCAAGGGTGATTTTCCATCCTTGGGGGCAGCAGTCTGGTGATCCACTCGGGCAGCTGCAGTGCTGTTGTAAAAGGAAATAACCGATGCCGCGTTTTGACCAGTCGGGGCGGAGGCATGTACGTCTCTGCATGTCGAATATCTCAACACCGTATCGAATTGCATTAATGATGGCGTCCTTAGATGCTTGGAAGGCAGATTCCAGCTCCGGGGACCAGGAGAATTTACAGCGTGGACTCAAGAAGGGTTTAAATGGAGCCATGGTGTCGCGTAATTGGGCATAATTCGCGACCTGGTTCACTAGCCCAAACCAGCTTCGGATGTCGGTTGTGGAAGTTGGGGTGGGGAATTCTCTGATCGCGTTGAGATATTTTGGGAGAGGTTCGATGGTGCAATCTGATATACGAAAACCCGCAAAGTCTGGGTTTAACACAATGCCAGCCTGCCCGACTCGTGTGAGTAGGTCGATTGTGCGCCACCAGTGCTGAGTTAGATCAGAGTCATAGTGTATCGTGTCGTCGACGCAACGCTCTTTACGTTCGAGACTGGACAGGATGGCGTCAAAGCGGCGGTTGTATCCATCTCCTGAAGAAAGGAAGCCTTGAGGTGCTCTAGTATATCGCCAACGTCCGAATGGTGTAATAAACGTCGTTAGGTGGCGGTCAGATTGTCGTAGAGGGACGCTGTGATATCCATTCCATGCATCTGTGACAGATTTCCAGGTTCCCTTTGGGATACGGCGGGCAAGATGGAATGGTGAATCCGTTGCGAAAGTCTCTCGCTGACAATATTTATTTAGGGGCGACAGGTCAACCGTTCGACGAGGGGAACCATCATGCTTTCTTGTGACTACCATGCGATGGCACCAGGTCACTGGATCGCCGTATGGCACACGTTCGATCACGCCAAGTGCTTCGTCGCGAATCAGGTCTTCGTGTACGTGCTGTTGCCAATGTATGGGCACATTAGCCGGGGTGTGGCATGCTTTCGGCGTGGCACTAGGGTCAACGTGTATTTCAATGGGAGGTCCTTCCATGCAAGGTAGGGCACGATGAGGGCATGTGTTAAAGGTCGAAGATGCATATCTGTGTAGCAGCCATTGTTTCATCCGTTCGTTATTTTCTGGCTTGCATGGGAATGGTAGCTCGGATGGTCTTGGTGGCGGAGCTGCGCGTACCGGACAGGAGCACGGTGTTTCTTTGGTTGTATGTGGTGCAGAGCATCCTTCGTTTAATGCACGGATGTCATTAATGGAGTGAGGGTTATGTTCGGTGACTGTGTGACCTGATTCATTGGTGTGGGTGCTGGTAGGATCACTTGGGTTGTCACATGGGTTAGCATTGGTGTTGTCGCTTGGGTTCTCGCTTTGGTTATCAGGGAGTGGGAAGGTAGGAGACAGAACATTTAGGTTGAGCAATGTCTCGTATGATAGGTACATATCTTTGACAGAGCTGCTGACGTAGATCATAGACTTGCACGATGTAGCCTTTCCACTCGGAGGTTTGGTTGTAATTGTGGCAAAGAATGCTCCTTCGACCGAGATGGGGGAGCGGTTGGCTGCAGACAGGCTCATAGTGACAGGTCGTAGATCATCACGAGAGAAGCCGCTGGCCAGGAATTTTTGGAGGGACCACAGGTCGGACTGTGCACCCGTGTCAACGATTGCGGGCATGTCCGCACGGGCGTTTGGGGGGTGTTTCTTGTCGCCTTTGATTCCCTTGTGAGGGGTAGCCAACGAAATGGATATTTCGATTCTGGGGTGTTCCCGAAGGCGGGCACGTCGCCACTCACCTTTTGTGAAGATGTGATGATCAAGAGTCGCAGGTCTGGGGTGGAACACTGCCGTGTGGGTGGTTGGGTGCTGATTCGACCGTCTGCCTTGGTGTTTACGGGGGAGGTGTGTAGCGTCGGAATTTATCGTCGCTATTTGGGCTATGGGGTTTTCTTCCATGGCGTTGATGTTGGACTTGTTTCCGGCTTCGTTTCGTTGTTGCCGTTTTTTATTGTGGCGGGTGCGGTAGCAAGAGAGGCACATTTGATGGGGTTTAGTGTTCCAACCGCGTGCCCCTTCTTTGTAAATATGAAACATGGCCTTGCAGTGTGGGCATGGGGCTTGTTTGGTGCGGTCTGTCTGCGCCGGGGTGACGCCCTCAGGAACTGGTACGGTGCGCTGTTGTCTTTGAAAAGAGGACATTGCTGACAAATTTGATGACGACGAGGCGCTGCGTGCCATTTCTTTGTTCTCGATCATTGCAACCACGTCATTCACCGGTTTCTTTAGGATGTCTGCTGTCCCTAGTACTTCCGACGAATGTCTGGGTCTGATATGCCATTAAGGAGGACGTCCCGTATGGCATGGTCGGTATAATCGACGTTATTTCCACATTCACACGCCGCAGTGAATGCACAGGTCTCAGCTTTTCCACGCACCTTTGCTGCAAATGCTCGGACAGGCTCATCACGTTCCTGACGTAATTGCATTAACTCTGTGCGTAAGACACCTGTTGCGACCGGGATGACGGCAAGGGAACGCATTCCTGCGAGTACCTCTGTTACAGTTTTAGTAACTATAGTTGGGTTCGTTTTCAGGAGGCTGTCGCCCAGGTCGGCTCCTGCACATTGAAAAAGTTGGGAAGGTGCTGATTCGTCATCAATACCCGATCCGTTCCGAAAGACTTCCCACCGCCGAAGAAATATGTTCCACTGCTCGTCAGTAATTCCCACATCAACCCTTGGGCGCTCGAGTTTCGGTCCACGGGGGCTTGGCGCCGGGGTTGTTGAGTGCGGGGGATGCGATGGGTTTTGGTGGGCCAATCCGTGATTGGCTAGCAAGGCGATGGCCAGTTGCTCCGAAACGTCTCCTGTCTGGAATTCGCAGTCCGGGACAGAGCATGTCACAACAACCATATTTGCTTTGTTGATGATCTCCTTTGATTATCCAATATAGACACTGGTGTAAATAGAATAGACTGGCGCCACAATTACTGTGAAGTTCGTTCTGATCCGTCTGATTGTGCGGTATCGCCTTAACAAGATTTCTATTGGTTTCTACATGAAGAAACTCTCGTCGATTGCTTTATATTCCGATTTAATAACAACGATGTAGAAACCATACTACATGGAATAATAGTAACAACTGTAAGAGCGGCTAAGCATGACATACAATGTAAATAAAAGATGGATACTTACTATACATAAGCTGATAGTTTTAAGTGTCTGGTAATATCGTACTAACGATATTTACATGTCCGAAAGAGTTTAACACAATAACTATGAACACAACAAGCACAAGTCTCGCTGACCGAGCTACTTGGTCAGCGGTGAGCTATGGCAAGTACTTCATGATACAACAATAGGCAGTATAATTATAGTAAAAATATTGTAGATTTCATTTCACTTGATATTTTAGATTAGTTTTAGCTATTATTTGACGTATTTTTAGATTGTTTTCATGTGTACATCGCGATATTGTGATTAAAGTTGTCTACCTTAGGATATAATTTGTAATGTCTTTGTTTGTTCTTTAAAAGAAAAGTGTTTAGATGATTTATTACGAAACTTTAATATGAAGTTGTATTTAAGTTGTAAATATTGTAGATTGCATATAAAATAATAAAATTTTGCTCAAATTTTTGTATGCTTCTTTATTTCTTTCCGGATATTATAGCGGAATCCTGAAAACGGGGTTATTTTAACCCAAAAATAACAGTTAAATGTCACCCGCAAAATGGGGATTAAGATTTAACTCTAGAAATGGTGTTATTTGTAACCCCCTAAAAAAAATTATTTTCGATTAAATCTCGTAACCCCTGTTTTTGGTGTTAAAATAACACCCTGAAAATAACAGTGTATAGATCTAGATGGCTTTTGTACTTTCACAAGTAATGCCCCTAGAAGAAAGGCATTTCAGACCTCCCATAATCTTGAGTTCCCTAGCCCTGGTGATACCAGGTGGTATTATCGAGCCCGAGTTGTTAAGGTGTTGTATAATAATTATTAGAAATCTTTAGAACTTTTTGAAGAAATAACAGATCAACATGATGGTTGGGATGATAAGTCATTGAATAAGGTTAGTGGCTTACTGCACTATCTTAATAATTTTCTCTTTTGTTTTTTAGTATGTGTTTTTTACAAAATTTTATAGAGCAGTCTTCTATTGTTCCTTAATTCAAAAACATTGTTCAACCTTGTTAACAGCATTGTTCAGCTGTTGTTCATCTAACAATCATGATCAACCTGCTCAATTTTTATGCGTGTAGGACTCGCAATTTATCATAATTCTGGTAGTATACAGAATGTTTGTTTAATTTACCTCTCAACCCTTTGACAGCAACATTTTCTGGATCGCAATTTTTAGGTTTATAAAGGCCTTGTTTCACCACTCCAAACAGGCCAGCTCCTAAATTTTTGTCCAGCACCTGCAGATCGTTTGGTGGAATTTCCCAGTCTTGGGCCTCTATTAAAGAAGGTGACGACGGATCAGTGATAAAATTTATCATGGGTCTTACAGCTAATTGAAAAATATTCTCCTTACAATTCTTTCAATCAATTCTTGATTTTTTAGAGATTGATCTTACAGAATATTGTTTATACTTGAAAACGAAAATGAAAATTAAAATCGTTTCGATACTTTCGGCATGAACTTTTGCATAATATCTATATAGTCGGAGAGTTTGCGTTCATAGAGTTCTTTTTATCCAGTTTATATGGAGCATGGTGTAAAAAGACTTTTATAATTGCATCTTCTAGCTCAATACTTGCACACTTACGAGTATTCGGATTGTGAAGCCTTTCTAGCTCAATAGATGCTTCTGGTAGATTTCGTGTACTATTTAAAGCATTGCTGTCGCTTTGGCTGGACTGAAGTCCCTTAGAGAAAGAAGATGGAATGATGAGGGATTATTGTAGTATCTATAACTGTCATTCTACGAACGAGGGCGCATCGCCGAGTTAGCTATTAGTCATCAATATTCGATGAGAAGAAGGAGAAAAACTGTTTTATTATATTATTTAACATTATTCATAATTTGAACAATAGTGAATACACTTTTAAAAAAAAAGAATAGCTAAATCCCGTATCGTGTTTTTTTCGAACGTTTTGTAACAGAAGAACAGAAATAAATCACTATATTTTGTAACCCAATATTCTTTCAGTCGCTCAACTCCCCAAATCTTTCCGCGAATTTAGATATGAGCTAAAATCTGTCTAGTAGAGAACCAATCAGATTGCAAGTTACCTCATATCCAGCCCTTGTGTATTTAATAATGTTTGTTATACGTCTTTATACAGTTATTCATTTATACATTCGCCTAATAAAGCGGACGGATAAATTAAACCCAGTTGCACTGCACGGGTAGATTTTAATCGCCCTGGTTAGTGCGGACTGTATTTTCTACCCTAATGCTATATTTTCAACACAAGGGATAGAGCCCGATGAAAAGTGCGAAACAATCGACACATTTATTTTAGTAGTAAGGGTGAGGCAAAAAAGGCGAAGCAATTTGCCGACCGAAGCCAAACAAAACATAAACACAACAAAGGCGCTCACACATGCAGCGATATTTTAACCGTCGAGGAATAAATCCCGACGAAACATTTGAAACAACATTTGGCAAATGTTCTTTAAGCGAAGTGCAAGGCAAGCACTTTAAATCAACTTGCCGACAAAGGCCAGGCAAGGCAAGCATTCGAAAACTTAAAAGCAGTTCGAAGATGCAGTACAAAGGCACTGACAACAAAATTTTCAGGGAAGTTTGAAACGAGACTCGACAAATTTCATCGAGGAAAATGTGAGGTGTAACTTAGACAAGGTCAACACTCGAAACACTATAGAACAATGTATGTTACAACTAAACGGTGTAAAAATGCATGTAAATTTACATACAATTAGTGATTGTAGACGATTATAAGGCTGGATTTCCACTAACAGGGAAATAGTTTGCTAGCAAAATATTTGCATGTTTTCTTTAGAAATTTAACGGCATAAATAATTTCAACATGACTGCTCTCGATTCAAAAGAGATATGCAAATATTTCCCTAGCGAACTTTTCATCTGTAAGTAGAAATCCACCCTAATACTACAGGGTGATATGACAGAAGTTGCCTAAAATATCTCATGCATGGGTATACGAAGCATATCAGATAAGTGAATCATTAATTAACCTTTAAGTTCGTCCCTTTGGGAGAAACACGTGAGTCGAAATAACAGGCAATAATAGGAAATTACACCCATGGGCATGGAATAAAAACACGAATGCGGTCAATTTGTAAGACTGACTGAATAATATTCATAACTGTTACAGCATAAGCTAGTATTGCTCCAAGCTATGCTACATGCCAAATATAATATGTGCTTAATGCCGCTTACACTTTACAGTAAATATCACAGTTGGGCAATATTGTTTATAATGCGCTATAATTCATAATTGCCATATTGGTTTGGTGGGTAATCATGATTGCGTTGTACTTTTTGACATAAACATGGATTACATGATTTTACAAATATATAAATTTTTGTTTACGCGCCTAGATCTAGTATTATGCATATAGGCTGTTTGTTAGACGTAAATTCATACAGTAAATCCTGGTTGATACTTGATACAAATAAACAATACAATAATCGACCTTATGACCGAACGACGACGGGCGAATGCAAATATATGCTTATACAGAACCACGCTCAAATATACAGTTAACACAGAAAATTATAGGACTATAGTTTATACGAACTTATAGGAGTATTGTTTATATGAACATCGACATGAATCTTTACCTTATCTCAGTAGATTTCTTATGTTGACGAGCACACGACTGACACGAGGTAACGGAATTATCCATATTACTCGACAAGACGACAACTGAAAGCTATTCGACATATTCGCTATTTGTAGCGTGAACATCCTAACAAAGATCTGTATTAGGCCTTGCAGGAACCTCAAATCATTGCGATGAAATGCCATTTTGTAAAATAAATATACGAATTCCTTTAAATGGCGAGATCGAGCAGTAGAATCCAACAGGTTTTTAAAAATATCCGCTGTCAAACATCGAGAACTTTTTCAATATTCCTTATTTACTTGAGAAGGATATATTTTTTCTTTTAAGTCAAATAAAGCAAACCAATAAGAAATCAATATTTTTCGTTCACCAGCCAATGGGAAAGCTTAAATTTGGCGAATGAGTCAGACCCCCGCAAAGATAAGGCAAGCCAATGAAGAGCCAGTATTCGCCCTCCACCAGCCAATCGGAAACGCTTAAATTGCGCAGATGAGTCAGACCCCCGCAAAGATGAGTCAAACTCATTCTAAGCCAATCAAATGCCTAGAATCAGAAGTCGATGAGGCAAAATTCAAGCGGGTATCCGCTATTACGACTCATTTGCCGAGGGCTCAAAAGTCAGTGACCAGCAACTGCATGAAGCTTCATAATTTTTAACTGGACTGTTAATTTATCGAATGACTATTTTCGCTGACTGAAGTTTAAATATTTCGACCTGGACTTGTGTATTTTTTGACTTAGTCGCATGACTCATCTGACAACCCCTAGATCCGCCCCTGTTCTAAGCTCTGTAAACAGTTTTATCAAATCGTTTTTCTAGCACACACGCCATGTTGAATTATTAGTTCAATTGGTTTAAACACTTTCGCATTAATCAACCACTTCCTGTTGATTGTTCACATGGGAATTGTCAAATTCCAGCCATACGTTCCCGGCTAATTTGACTCTCAAAGTTTTCAGTTTTTTTTACTCACCCTGTATTTAGCAATTAGTCGCCCACCGAAACTGAAGCGACGAATTGTTTTAGTATAAATTTCCAAGTGATTACAAATAAGAATCAACACAATTTCATAAAACGTTATAATTACTTCAAATTTCTTATTTGAAAAAGGCATAAAAAATCTACACTCACCGTCCAGTGCACGACTATCACTTCAGAAACAGTGAATTTGACCGATCAGAATGCCGGAAAATCAATAATCACCTCGAAATTTATATATTAATATGTGCACTGTACAATATGCAGAGTTAAGGTCAAGGTAAATTTTAATGAAACGTGTTGATGAAAACATAACTTACGGGCAATACAAGACGTGAGCAATAAAGCGAGGCAGACCAGAGCTTTCGGCAATAGGGAGCAGAAAATAACAAATATCGAAAGGTCCACGTAGAAGACACCGCTTTAGACGCGAAAACTAGCAAACTAAGATATTTCGGAGATTATGATGCGATCATAATGAAAACAAGCGAGGAGGATCGACCCACAATCCTAGCCAAAACCATTGACTACACTCAGAATGATTTGTAGTTTTTTATGCAAAACATCAACATTTCTGTCTCGATTTTCCCCCTCGCCCCCCTAATCAATGTTGAGTCCATGCTAAATACTTGAATGAGTTCTGACACATCACCCAACATTGATTTGTGGGGGAAAGGGGGAGAATTTTGAATTATATTCCGTGACTACCGACTGTAGTGGCAATTAACACTGAGTGTCGTCAATGTTTTGACCAGGATTGCAGAATTCATTCGCTTCGAAATCCGCCTAAGGTAATAAAAATGAGAACAGTTTACAACCGAAGCAAAACACTGCAAACCGGCCCGATAACCCCAAGAATATAAAGCGCGAGAAAAAACAAATCATAATGGCAAGGCATAGCGCTGTATCAAATTAGGATAACTCGAAGTGAGAATGTATTAAATCATATGTACCTGAAGTTCTTGTGGCGGTGCCAGTTGTGGCGGTGCCAGTTGTGGCGCCTGAGAGGCTTGAACTGTTGGTTCCACAACCATTGGTACCGCAGGATCGTCTTGCTGCACTAAGGATTGGGCTTGGCCGACATCTCTTGCAGGAATCTGTTCGTTAAGAGCCATAGGACTTACTGCTGCATTCTAGTTGTTTTGGCGCAATGAGAACACGAGTCAATCGGACTGCTCTTATTTATACTCGCTGTGCGCGGGGCTGGTGCGAATAATAGGGAGTTTTTGCAGTTACTACGACTACGAGTACATTTGTCTGCGAGTGGCGAGAAATGAAAAACCTTGGAATACTCGTTGTTCTACTCGTCTTCTCCAAGTCAATTTCATAGGGGAGCCCAGAGTAAGCGAGAATATGGGGGAGGGGGCATACTGAGCGTAAAATCACACATATGTTTTGTTTTTTTTTACCTACCTACCTACCTGGTCACGTCATGAATGTGATCAGAAGCTTGAAAAAAATTACCTCTGCAGCGCTAGCCGATTGTCTTCGACGACATAGTATTACAACCACAAAGATAACTAACAAGAAAATTATTACTCCAACTCCAACTGCAGTTGCAATTATTTCTGGCGTCTTCGACTTGCTATAGGCGACGTCTTCTTTCAATTAAAAGCAATATAGGAATTGGGCTAACGTGAAGGAATGTGATGTAATAAACATTTTACATTTAACTCATTACCTTTGGTTTTAATTTTCTTCTCATTGTATTTCCAGTTAGTCTTATTGATGCGGTCACTGTAGTAATTCTTGGAATAAATTCGGAAATAGTATTCTGTATTTTGATCCAGACCATGTATTATCACATACGTATGCTTCAGATCAGTTTGTGATGGTATAAACGTGACTGATCTCCCACACGGCTCTTCACATAGTGCACTATAACTGCTCGATGGACATTTATTGCATACGATTTCATAAACGACATCTTGGTACCACATCTGTGGCCGTTGCCAATGAAGCGTTATTGTAGTCTCAGTTCTCTTTACAATTTTAATGTTCCTGACTTCCGAAGGAATTCCTGGTCAACATAACGTTTTTCTGTTACTAGGCTATTTCATTTAAATTAGAACATTATTTAACTTGCTTTAACATTACTTCGACTTGCTATAGGCGACGTCTTCTTTCAATTAAAAGCAATATAGGAATTGGGCTAGCGTGAAGGAATGTGATGTAATAAACATTTTACATTTAACTCATTACCTTTGGTTTTAATTTTCTTCTCATTGTATCTCCAGTTAGTCTTATTGATGCGGTCACTGTAGTAAATCTTGGAATAAACTCTGAAATGGTATTCTGTATTTTGATCCAGACCATGTATTATCACATACGTATGATTCAAAGATCAGTTTGTGATGGTATAAACTTGACTGATCTCCCACACGGCTCTTCACATAGTGCACTATAACTGCTCGATGGACATTTATTGCATACGATTTCATAAACGACATCTTGGTACCGCATCTGTGGCCGTTGCCAATGAAGCGTAATTGTAGTCTCAGTTCTCTCCACAATTTTAATGTTCCTGACTTCCGAAGGAATTCCTGGTCAACATAACGTTTTTCTGTTACTAGGCTATTTCATTTAAATTAGAACATTATTTAAATTTTTAGTGTGGTTCTGATAAAGTGTCGGACATATTTTTTTTCAACAGCTTGGAAATAGCTAATAATATAATATACACTGAGTAAAAAAACGAACAGGGTTGTTGTTTATTTTAACAACTATATAAAGTGGTGTATGTTTATCATATGCGGAGCTTTAGGTGCAAATATTGCACCAGATAACGGTTTAATTCGTAAATATCGTGCACTTTAACAAAGTCTCAAAATTAAATCCGTAAAAATCTCCAAATTATATCTAAATTTTAGAAATTAAAAAGACAACCTCGTTCGCAGGGCCTTTTGGGACTTTATGAGAAAAAAGAGGAAAGGCCCTGGGATCGGCCGTTCAAAATACCCACATTTCGTGGGTATTTTGAATAAGCATAATTTATCATAAAATTTTGCCTAACATTTTTAAAATGCCGGCGTCACGTAGAACGGATAATATTGTCGCATTAAAGTGCCTATATCACTTGTGGGATTTTTACGGATTTGAATAAAGCTTGAAAAATTAGTTATAGCTAAGTTCTAGAACCTTTTTTGATAGAATTAAATAGTTTCGAAAATACGTCGGTTGGGGGGACCCCACTCAGGAATGATTTGCAAACACGCCGTCTTTAATAATGTAAACATGAAAAGTTTCACTGGCGATATAGTTTGCGCTTTTGAAGAAAAAAATGCGGGAACGGTGCGTTGTGTATGGCTGTAGCAACTGGGCGAGTTTTTCTCAAAATATTTTACGTTATTGGAAGATCGAAGTAAAATTACAATTGATTATATTATGTTTGGCTGTTCCTGAGTCCCAGGCCCCCGAGCACGACGGAAATTTAGGCAAATCGTCATGTCTACATGTAAATATTTCCGAAACTCTTTAACTATATCAAAAAGGGTTGTAGAACTTGTAAACTAAGCTCTCTTTAAATTCATAAAGATCCCACAAGTTCTTCAAGCTCTATTTAAATTCATAAAGATCCCACAAGTGATATAGGCACTTTAGAGCAAATTGGAATTGTACCATTTCGGATTAATTACAAAATATTCCGCCAATTACACATAAATTAGGGAAAATCGTTTAATCAATTAGAAGTCAAAAGCGGTTGGCCGATCCCAGGGCCTTTTCACTGCTATTATCCCAACCCAGAATCAAGGTAAATGGCCATGGGAGCGAGGTTGTTAAAAAGAATCTAAAAGATTAAAATCCCAAGAATTTGGCAAAAATCTTAAAATCTCATGATCACAACTAGTGCACTTCCGTGTTGAGATAATTAAAGGGTGAGGTTTTTACAAATGTTCTCCTCACTGGAGATTCATGCAAGATGTCTTAGAAGACTAATTTAGGTACCAAAGAGAGAAATGTAGAGGGTCAGATGATCCAAACGCTCAGCAAGCTTGGACATAATGACCTTACCATTGTAAGACAACGAGACATTGCTCCAGTAATATGTGATAACGTGGGAAGGCGGTATGAAAACACGAAGTGATACAAGGTCAGCACCAAAGCCTGGTAGTAAACTTGTATGGAGGAGTTTGTATAGGGTATTCTCTCGCATTTGAACGCATATTTCCCCATTGAATAAGCCCTCTCCAAAAGGTTCTAAGAAAACAAGCATTCATGGAGGGCTTAATAGAGAGATTACAGGACTTACAGGGTGACATAGTCACAACACGTGGTCGAAGGTGCATGGACATCCATTTAAAAGTTCCGCTTAGTATAACTTTAATAACGATTCGTAACACATTTTCGTACATTGTTTGTAGAGTATAAGTTATAAAGGCTACAGTCAAATGTCGAAATCAACATCACTTGACCCGAGCGGCTCAAAACTGGATCAAAATGAAGACAAAATCACTGCACTGATCAACAGTTATTTCAGTTCGACACTGAGACGAATTCGATTAACAACGTCACAAAACTGTCGAGTTTTGCTAAGGGAAACAGTGGCCAGTATGAAAACATCATAATTACAGAAAAGGGAGGCCTGAAGTGGTAGAGAAACTGGAAGACTTACGATCACTTATTAGCCGTCTACAATTACATTCAGGAACTTGGTCGAACTCGGGTGGTCACTGTAAACAATTTGAAAGCAAAGAAGTTTCAAAACGTTGGTGCGTAAACAACGGAACCTTAACAGTGAAGGTGGATAAAGCTTAAGAAATTAAGGAAAAACTCCTAAAGTTTGATAGTAATCAAGAAACGCAACCGTTGTTAACCGAGAAAGTCCAAAGCCCAAAGGTTATAAATTTGAGTTTTATGCAACATTTATTCGATGCAAATTTGCATACAACATCACGAAGCGATAGCTCAACCCCTAACGTGTCCGAAATAAACAAAGAAAATACGGCTTATACTATTGTAGTATTACAAGATGTTATCAATGATCTTAGACAAGAAAAGCAAGAGCTAAGACGTGAAAATGGAGAGCTAAAGGAATATAATAAGGGAGTACTGCAATCGTTGACCGACGCAAGAGCTAAAGTCCTTCAGCTCCAAGATGAAAAATCAAGTCTTCTAACAGCATTAACACTGATCCAACGGAACCAGCAACACTCGAGGAAGGGAATATCGAAGAGCTGAAAGCTGAAAACAAAAACTTAAGAGCTGCCGCAAGAGCATTGCAAGAGGAGCTTGATAATAAAGCAAGGAAAGGAAATCAGGAGTTTACAGATACGAACGAGCAGGGCAGAAGCACTTAAACACCTGAAACATCAAAATCAGTTCTAAATCAGTTCCAAGTCCTTTTTGAAAGTAACCACAACGATGATGTTATATTGTTACCATCTACATCAGTAGGAGAGCCAGAAGTTGGTCAAAACGGTAACATGGCAAAAATACCAGCACAAAGCTTCCAGATGGAATCACCAAACCTAAAATTTTACTCGTCGGTGATTCAATGATAAAAAATATAGATCCTCATAAACTCTCTAACAGCTCAGTTCGAAAACTAAAATTTCCTGGTAAACGGGCTGAAGAAATGGCAAAAGATGTTCATGCGGCCCACATAAATTGTTCCGCCACAGAAGTAGAATCATACACGCAGGCACTAACAATCTAATAACAGACACAAGTAAAGAATGCTTTAAAAACATCAAACACTTAAGCAGCACAATAAAGAACAAGTTCAAGGCTGCGAAAGTTGCTATATCCAGCATTATCAACAAGGAGGACATTGATCTAAAGTTAAAAATTGACGAAACGAATAGATTATTGAAGGAACTGTGCCTGAAACAGGGCTATACCAGTATACCTTTATCGATAACGGTAATCTCGATGATACAGGCCTCAACGGCTCGAAATTGCACCTTAACGCAAAGGGTTCAGCCCTATTGGCTGTCCACTTCATCAAGTTCTTGAGAAATGAAAGAAACCCACGAAAAAGTGTTGGGGATTTTCCGAAGCATCTACAACAATTGGGAGAACTGCTGAGGGTTCTTATGCCACAGACAACAAAGAACCGAATGCATCGACATTATAAGTAATAATCAATCTGCTGTGCGGGAGTCTGAAATACTCTGAATCTGTTCTACCGGGTGTAAATCGTAAGTGTGCTAATCTTAAATACAAACCATTTAGAAAAGGCCTAGTAGTTATGGCCTCATTAAATATTAATAACCTCTTATGAACAGCTATATAAATATCTGAACACCAACAATTTGATATCTAAGATTCAATCCGGTTTCCGATCTATGCACAGCACATTACCAGCTTTACTAGAAACAACAGACAAATGGTCGATCAACATAGATAACAAGGTAGCAACTTGGGCCCACTACTGCATGTTAATAATTTATATTATATAATACCCTATTAAATTTAGAGCGTTTAATTGGTTGATGACGATCACATGATGTTGAATAGAAAGCCCCATTTCCCAAAAGTGCAATGGAAAGCGTTCCATTGCACTCTCCGGAGTGCAATTGTACTATACATTTTGTTTCACTGCACTCTTAATGCTTCTCGCACATATGGTTGTTGACCCATACAGTATGTTTTTTAATAAATTATATTTTTGAAACGAGACAGTCTATTTTGGTATTATATAAAACAAATAATGAATGTTTTCATTCGTGCAATGGTAAAAATATTTTCACTTGGTGAAAGATGGAATGTTCCATTCAACTTGGCTATCGCCTCGATGAATGGAACATTCCATCTTTCACCTCGTGAAAATATTTTTACCATTGCACGAATGAAAACATTCATTATTTGTATATTAATGATTTGCAAAATTGTCTCAATAGAGCCTCTCTAAGAATGTTTGCTGACGAAACTAAGTATCGAGGCAAAATCTGTAACTGAGCTTAAATGTTGCTGAAACAGAATTCATGGCAATCGGATCACGTCAAAAGTTAAAGATACACAACGATGAACAAATAAATATTGAAATTGACGGAAAGACGATAAAGAAAGTCAAAGATACGAAATCATTAGGCTTACAAATTGACGAGCATTTAATATGGGCACAACATTTGGACAGCATTTCTAAAATGATTGCTTCAGCCATTGGAGCCCTTAAAAGGATACGCCAGTTCATAGATACAAACACTATACCGTCAAAATTTACGGAGCTTTAATTCAACCGTATTTTGATTATTGTAGCCCAGTTTGGGATGGTATAAATACCACATTAAACGATAAGTTGCAAAAACTACAAAACAGAGCAGCCAGGGTAATCACCAAATCTCGATTTGATGATAGTTCCAGCGATCTTTTTAACAAACTAGGTTGGGATATTCTTTTAATGCTCCGGAAAAAACATAAGGCTGTAATGATGTTCAAAACTCTAAATGATTTAACACCGACATATCTTCGTGATATATTTCAAGTTCGCAGCACTAGATGCAAGTTACGAAATTCTGAAAATAATTTATTTGTGCCAAAACCGCAAACAAATTATATTAAACGAAGTTTTAGTTATAGTGGCGCAGTGTTGTGGAATGAGTTACCACTAAATGTACGATCATTATGCTCCCTTAACCAGTTTAAAAGAGAGATTGAAAATCATCTTTCTTTATAAAGTAGACTCCCGCGGCAATCTTGTAAATCAGTAATAGTTTATTTTAAATCGTCCAGTCTTGTGTAATTGTCCTATGTATACCTGTATTTTGTAACTTGTCTTTAAATGTCCAATAACCGTTTTAAAAATACTGTAGATTTTACCGTGGATAAATAAAGTTTTTGATTAATTGATTGATTGTTAAAACACTAGACAAAAACTCCAATTGGAAATTTCAGTTTTTTAATGACTGCTAGTTGACGCACTTGGCTGATCGACGCACTTGGCTGATCGACGCACTTGGCTGACGCAATTGGCTGACGCACTTGGCAAACCTTAAAATACCCAACCAAATTGTCTGGTATAGTCTTGTGGCTTACTTCCCTGTATCTCTTGCCATGTAACAACGTCAATTGCATGACGTTGAATCAAGGTCTCGAAAACTCGCGTTTTCAATTGCCTGACCTTGAATCATGCAATGTTTCGAAAACAATGTTGAAACAACGTTTAAATTTAGTTGTCGTCGTCGCGACGATTTCACCCTTAACTCATGCAATATTTTTGCTCGTTATTGTATCATGAAGGTTGTATTTTGTAAAAAACTTAAAAGTTGCCACTTTAAACTTACCAAAACATGGGGCTGTAGTTGAATCCATATTCGTATTGAAACGATAATAACCTTCCATGCATTCACAACTTGTTCGGTCTTGATTGTTTCTGCTGTTATTAGGACATTGTTTACAAGGGTCATGAGAATAGGTTGCTTTAAACCGACCGTCAGGACAAGCTAGATTTTAACAACAAATCAATTAGATTAGTCTATGGCCGTCAAAAGGGGAAAAAACTTCATAGTTCAAACACACACACGCACGCACGCGCAAGGATACGTTTAGATTAAATTCATTATCCTTCGGCTCAATAGACCTTTTAGGCTTGTATGCAAATCAACTCATGCATCTTAAATCACATGATGTGAAATGGTTAAATTTTATTTGCTATTCCATGGTCACAACATGTGAAATGGGTGAATTTGCATGCAAGCTGAAACGGTCTATTGCTTGACGTTGAATTAACGTCTTAAAAAAGACTCTTTCGTAAACTCTTTTGTAATTAAAAAGCGTTTCGTAAACTTTGTACCAAATAAAACGAAAAGAAACAAGATAAAGGATGACAGATATCTCAGAAGAACATCGATACAGCTCAAGACAAAGCGGCGTATGAAAAATATTTCATAATCTGCGGTTTATTTGTACCTATAATTTTTGGCTTTGTATGCCGTTTTGCAAAGAGACCAACATTGAAAGGCTATTACAACCTTTGCTTAAAATTGAAAAAAAGTGTATCTGAAAGTATAATTTCAATTTTAATATGACAAATATCACTACACACTATAAACTCTTCAGGGCGGGCTACAAGCACAGAATTTCATGATATATGTTTAGGTCGGGTTAACTAGCTCAGGAAAAGCGTAGGGTTGCTGCACGCATGCATTTCTAGTTCAATTTATTTCTAGCATAACAAAAGTTTGCCCTGTTTTTGCTCTCATATATTCGGAGAACAAATTGTTAGAATTTTATCAAAAAGCCGGGTGCAATTCACTCACTCACTGACAATTACTTACGCGAACATTCATTTAATTGATTTTTTTCCTCTCCTTTCTTGCAAAAGCATCCCATATTCTTTTCGATTTTCCATGTTCCATTATATCCACAATATCCAATAACTTGATCTGGCGACGCAAAATTTCCGGAACAATTTGCCTCTATTCTTTTCCATCCTTCATAAGGAGACGTGGTTTTCGGTATCAAAAAACCATTGAAATATTGTTCTTCACAAAAATAATAGTATACTTTCATGCTATAAACGCTCGCACACAAACCAACTGCTCTCACAGCTAACACGAGGGTGTTCAACCCGTTTTTTGGAAATTTCGCCACGACTCGGTAATTGTTTTCTAGTGTTGGGAACTCCGTTGGGTAAATTTGAAAAAAAAAATTAAAAAACATTTCTTTGGATATATCCGGTGGTTGTGAGCTTCCGTTATAGAGATAAATTTCCAAGGATTGATCGATATCGATGTTACGAAATCTGACGAATGTTCTCATAGAAAGATAAATCACATCAGCAAATGTATCTATTCCGATATTCTTTGTAACAAATACGGAATCTCCATAATCGCTGCAAGTCACCATGGAACTTTCCCTTTCATTAAGAGTCCACTATAACCAAATGTATAGTTTTGTAAGATTCTGAACTTTTTTCATTCCCATCCTGTCCGATTAACTTAGGACGTAAATCACCTACTTTTATCAGGTGTAATAACTCGAAAAATATGAAAACACCACGAAAATATAGCAAGAAAAATACTATAACCTTTGCTTCTGTTATAGCCCGGAAATCATCGAATAGTTCGGGTAATATGACACCGCACTACAGCTGTGAAATTTATATCAAATTACAAGGTGATAACAACCTGAATTAGTATAAAATCTGAAGTGACTATTGATTCTGTTTCGTTATTGGTCTTGGTCGCTACGGAGTCATATGACATCATAATTTATGAGAAAGCGCGCAAACCCATGATGAGTTGTACATGATGAACCACATGATGAACCTTTGCAAGGTTAGTTACCAGCAAAACCAGAGAAGCAAAATTTGAATACTTCGTGGAGATCTTATGGATGAGATTATGGATGAGATGATCAATCAACCTGGTCGCGACGCTATCTTTGAAGAACACGAAGAAGAGCTACTGGCTGAAAAGTACGACGGAAACCCACGATTTGATTGTGGACAAGTGCGCATCATGGCGATGATGGCAAAAATTAGTTAAAATATAAATTCGGTTATAACGCGCCACCGAGGGTAGAAGCTGTCAAAGGTAAACCAGGTGCGAAGAAACGACGTCTAGCGCTACCAGCTGACAAGGGCACTAATGAAAACTTACTGTCTGAAGCAGACAAGGACAATTCTGACTCAGAGTTACTGGCGAAGATGGCGAAGCGCCTGAGACTTCAAACACCTCAGCAGCTGGGGATGATATATTGAGTGAAATAAGTTCCAATATAACCAAGGAGCAGCGTGGCAGCGTCTTCAAACAACTTAGCATCAAATGTGGTATAACAACGCCAAAATAGACAAAACACTTCTCGACGTTTCAACCTGAGGGCCTTCGTCAGGAGAGCTAGTATGCCAAAATAAATAAGGGTGAATACATGGTTTGTATAGGGGCAAACACGTGATAAAAATGGGCTAATAGAAATGGGCCAATTGTTTTGATTTTATGGTTTCTATTGGCCCACTTTTATCACGTGTTTTGCCCCCATACAAAACATGTATTTCTCCCCTATTTATTTTCATACTAACTCCCCTGAAGTGTTTTGTCTATTTTGGCAGTTGTTATACCACATTTGATGCTAAATTGAGTGAAATAGCTCAAGATTACGCCGAAGGAGCCCAAACGAGCGATGATGTTAGCCAGAAGTTAGCTGAAATTGTAAACCAACCTTGCTCATCCAATTAGGAGGCAAAATTGAAGGACAAAAATGAACAAATATGCTCGGCTGCAGAATTGTGAGAAGCTCACTGTGCCAAGAATAAATCCCAAGATCTGGTCAACCTTGAACCATACGACCCGTGGGTCTGGTCTCAAATTAGTCAATTATCAGAAAACGCTGGTAGCGTTTGGGGTTGCTTTAACTCAATCCCCAGAAGCGCTGTTATGACAGGATATTCAGTTCCGGTTTCGCGAAAATGGAGCAGGCTCCGGATTCGAGTGAACCCGGAGCTGGAGTGGCTTGTTTTCATAAAAACCGATATGGCCGTTTCGCTTTTTATTTAGCTTTACGACGAGTTTTTGTACAAACTAAAAGATAGACAATCGAGAGAAAGCCTAGGAGAATATCCTTATACTTCTTAACTTCCTCTAGCTTGCGAAACCACGACAGGCAACTTGTGTAAAGTCTAGCCGTCTGATTTCATTCACGCACCCGTGGCATAAATTTAATCCCTTCGCAAAGGCAACACCGTCAAGCAAGTGTACACAAAGCGGCTCAAATCGACGAACGGCCATTGCATGTTATATACGCCGAGATTTTTCGCTGATATCAAGATGGCATGAGAGTGCAAGCCGTCAGAATTAAAGGAAAATGGCAATATATTTTTTTTCTGCATAATATTAAAGTTTACCTTTTAAATAATCAAGCGTGATTAGTATTATGTCGATAAAGAAGCTTTGTCAAAAGAAACGAGCGTTTGTTTATACCCGAGTGTTCTCTTTCGTCCGCCATCTTGATTTATATTTCTCTATGCTAATTTATGCACGCTTAACATGTGTGACGTCATAACCTGGGTTGATCTAAACATCTTGGCGCGAAATATAAATTTCTATTTACTTTTACTGCGCCAGAATGTATTGCCCGGTTTACGGTTGCACAAGCGATTACAAAAAGAACAAAGAAAACAATATACATTATTTTTCATTTCCGAAAGCGTCAAATAAAGAAGAGCAGAGAAGGCGAAATATCTGGATCGACTTTTGCAAGCGAAAAAACTTCCGTCCATCGAAATGCACTTGCATGTGTTCCTTACACTTCGCTACTGACTCCTATGTTCCATCACATTCTCCCGATTTTTTAAAGTCGATAAATTTTTTTGGAAAACGTAAGTTAATTCTCAAACCCGACGCTGTGCCAACTATAAGAAAAGCACTTGATTCTGACACCAATAAAGAAGAGGCATCAGCAAAAAAGAAGAGGTCGACAGGTATCCTTTCAAGAAGAAAGGTAATTTAGAAAATCTTATTAAACCTGTTCTCTTTTATTATTTTCTTTGAACTAATATTATTTGTTTGTTTCTTTTTTCAAGGAGGTAGATGAGTTGATCGCTCATGCTGAAAGTTTTGCGGGAAAAGCAGACGAGGGTGAATCAGAAGGAACCATACTTGAAAGCAGTGTTAGCGCCAGTGCCAGTGAGACATGCCAACCAGAGGCGAGGGAGTTAAAAAAACACTCGTCAGTATCTGTTCAAACTATCCGTCTAGAATACGTTGGTAAAAATGCGGGTACCCAGACAAGTAGGAAGCTTGAAGGAACAAAATTAACATGCGTGACAAAAGGAACACAAACCTTCGTCAGCAATGAATTTTTTACAAGACTCGAGTCGCTCAAGAAAGCTTCAACATCCTCACAAACGGATCCAATAGAATGTGACAGTAGTAATGCAATTGTAAGTGAAGAAATCAGGAAAGTGGAAGACGATGGACATAGCTTGAACGATAAGAAATTGGCTGTGACTGTGGATTTGGACAAGAATAATATTGAAAATTCAGACCACGTTAAAGATGACCACGACGAAAATGATGCAGGCGACGATAGTTGTGACGAAGAGTTTTTACCCACATCTGGCGAAGAAAGCGAATCTGATGAAGAACATATCGAAGATACAAAGACATGCGATTCGGTCATTCTTACAAGTGACAAACCCATTCAAGATCAGCTAAAACTGATTATATGCGAGGAATCAATTGCGACTATGTTCAGTGTTTGCTTTAAATGCGGAAGTCGTTGCACTGTTTCTGTTGGGAACACAATTGGAAGTTATTGCACTATCTACATATCATGCTGTTCATCAGCAAACCATGAAATAACCTGGTCAACAGGCCCTCTTCTGAATCGATTGCCAGCGATGAATTTACTTATGGCGTCAACAATATTGAGCACAGGCATGGAGTGCAACAAGACGTTGAGATTCATGGAATCGCTAAAGATTTTGTGTTTTAAGAGACGCGAGTTTTCAAATGTCCAAGGTGCCTATGTTATACCGGCTGTAGTCAGTGTTTGGAGAACAGAGCAACGGAAACTGTTGTCCGAGATTGATGGAAAATCGATTGAAATTGCGTCGGATATGAGAGTGGATAGCCCTGGACACAGTGGGCTCCTTGGAGCTGGAAGCAGTCTTGATTCAAATAGAAATGTCATTCTCGATACTCAAATAATTAAGGTACTACATTCTTGATAAAAAGACCCATTAACATTGTTCGTTTTTAACATTGCTGCGTCTATTACGGTTGTTCCTGTTGTAATATAGCACCTCTTTTATAAATCCTAATGGGCCTTTTCGTTGAAAATGCCCGTCATCCCGTTTAAGGCAGACTTATTCCGATATATATATTTAATAATTGTATAATAGAGCACAGAAGTAAAAAACTCTAATGGAATGGAATTAGAATCTCTAAAAAGGCAACTTCTTTACCTCGAAGAAGCAAATGTGGTTGTGAAGAAAGTGGTGACAGACAGGCATGGCCAAGTAGCGTCCTACATGGCGGAAGAAAAGCCAGATATTGAACACAATTACGACGTCTGGCATTTAGCTAAAGGTTTGTTTTTCAAATTAGTCACTTATTACTTGGGGAATGATTTACAACCTCTTCTGCCATTTTCATGGGGCAAAGTTTGCGAAGTGACACGTAGTGATATATATTATAAATTACACAAGTGAAGATTCTAACTTTAATTACAAACTGTATTTCATAGGTGAAAAGAAAAAGTTGCTCAAAGCTGTGAAGACAAAAAAATTTAAAGCCATTAAACCCTGGATTGGGGTAACTATAAGACATTTTTGTTACATTATAACACAAGGTTGCAGTTATTGAATAACTAAAGTTGCAGTTGTAGCTATTGAAATAAAAAAGCATCTTTAATACACTTTTCCTAGTCTATTATAAATCATATATACTGGGTGGCTTTGTCAACTGCAAATGAAGATGAGAGAGTGGAAAAGTGGTTAAGCTTGTTGAATCACATAGTGGATATTCATGTGCATGAAGAAAACAAGATTTTTAAAAAATGCACACATGAGGAAGTGGATCGAGCTTGGTTGAAACCAGGTAGAATGGTTGCTACAAGTGAAATTGTAAAATGCATTTACAGAAATAAGCTTTAAAGTATGTTATAATGTTCCTATTCATTTTTTCAGGTTCAGCAGCTTATAAGAAGCTTAAAGAAATCTTAACAAGACCAAGATTATTATCTGCAATTCGAAAGCTGTCAGGCTCTCATCAAACCTCATCCCTAGAAGCAAAGCATGCTCTTGACAACCAATTTGCATCCAAGAATACCTACTACCCATACCATTCATTGATGGCAAGGTTTGAGATTTTCTGACAATTATTATGATGATTAT